AGATTATAAAACATTGAAAATGCTTTTTCACATCTAACTGTTAACTGCATCAGTCAGGCAAAGTTACCCTAATAAAATAGTTTTACAATACTGAAAAATGGTGAGGCACTGTCAATAAAAATCTTCCTAGGTATACAAGATTTTTTTAAGAGCATTTCATTGTAGAGGCTTGTTGGTTATTGATGTATCTGTCTGGATCAGTTTAACTGCCTTTTTTCTTTTGAGCAGAGCCAATAAAGATGAATAGCTTCATATAGAGCAACAGGCCCTGCAGGTTGTCTGTTAGTCTTAAGAAAAATCTGTGGCATATAAAGAGGCAAAGGGGCTATTAGATTTTTTTTTGTTTTTTAAAAAGGAAGAAAGAAATGCTTAGGAAAAACTACAGTCTTTCATTTATTTCTGACCATTTACTTTGGGTCACTAACAAATTAAAAATAAAAAAAAGGTCACACCTTTTAAAAGTGTGTATCCATGTCCTCTAAAACCAGAGAAAAACGTAATTTCCTGTAAAACGCTATAAGTCTGTCTTATACCATGGCAATGACCCACTTGAGGCACCATAACAGCAGCAATGGATAGAACAAGGCTTACCGTCAATCATCATGTAGATGAAAAATATGGGAAACTCGCACTCGATCCCATCAAAAAGCTGGAGAAAGACAGAGAGAGGAGGAGAGGGGAGGAATTATTGCTTTTTTCGTTTCACAAAGAGAAGAGAGGCGCAGGAGCTTTAAAGCTGAATTTGAGCAGCACTGAATATGGAACAGTATGGCACAGAGAAAAAATATAAAGGATGTGACATTCTGAATGAAACCTGTCAGTATAGAGAGAAATATTACTGATCCTTTACAAGGTCATTTTTTTTCTAATTCAAAAACTTGGCTGTTTGTTTTGAGGAGGACATCTAGAGGTGTGAAAGTTTAGTATGTTTACAATAGACAGACACATAGATGGAAAAACACAGAGAAAGTCGGAGTTTAGTTTTACTGAGGACTCAGTGTCACTTCTCTATCACTGAATAATCAAAATCTTGGCTTTCAGTCTTTTACAACCTAACATGAAATAAGGTATTATTTGTAACCTAGCAACAACAAACACTTAAGAGCAGCGCTCAGAAAATGACACTGTGGCAAAAAACACTGCCATGTTGCCTGTGAACTCAGACCTTCAATATCAAAGATTTGTCAGATTTCACTCAGTATAACAAAGACAAGAGAATTACAATGTATGTTTAACAATATAAATACCTACTCGCTGTGTGCTTAAGTTAAAAAAAAAGAAAGACATTGTTTGCTTAGGCTGCTGCCCCCGCGACCCGGCCTCGGATAAAGCGGATGAGGATGGATGGATGTTGCCTTTTAGTTCTGGTCGAGTTCTTCTTGACATTTTAGAATGTGAGGTTCACAGTAGTTTTATATAACCTAAAGTTGAAAGTATAAAGTCCAAACAAAAATCCAATCAATAAACTATACCATGTGTTACAAATGGGACTGCAAGCTATCATACATATTTAGTCAGGCCACAAATAAGCTTCAATATACCCTTTAAGGTTTTTATTCAAGTTTCTGAAAGCTTGTTAGAGGCATGTTCTTCCAAAACATTTTTGTTTTTGGATGTTTTAATGATGGTGGTGGAGACTGATCTGGTGACTGTGAAGGCCATAACGCGTGATACTCAAATTGTAGTTCAATGACCACTCCCATCATGACAGAACCGCTCCATCACAGAAGAAAGGTGATTTTGCAGTGACCCTTCCCTCTAAAAGGTCAAATGAAGCCAAAATGCATCAGCACAATGTCACCACAGCATAACTGAGCCACCTGATCCCACCACAATAGTTGACCAAGTGTTAAGGGTTTTGCCTCTAATCCTATAATTTCTTTTAATTCAAACTATTTATAAATATGGGAGCTTTGGCTCATATTAATTACATGCATTTTATAGTAGATAGTTCTGCTTGTGTATTCATACTAAATCACAAATCAGAATCCTTTGACTGATTCACTTTCTCACGCCAGACATGCAGCAGATTGCTTGGTTGGGGTCCAGCTGTTTAGTGTGCAACAAAGTTTGATTGACAGCTCTCATGTTGCCTGGAACAGACCAACCCAAGTCATTTCAGTAAGATGTTCGGCTTCCTTTAGCCTCCAAAACAACTTCAAAACCCTCGGCACACATTTGTCTAATTTAAGATGAACATAATTTTTTCTAAAAGATTAACTCAGTTGCTGTTTTGACAAATCCACTGCAAAATGTAACCCATGCCTCTTCCCACAAGTAAGAACTAGTGACTTTGTAGGCCATGGCATATGATTTCTATCATTTTTTATACTTATCAAACCATTCAGTGTTTTTCCCTCCTTGCTTCCTCTTATTTGGCCAATTTATTCAGGTTTTTTTTTTATTTAATTAAACCTGTCAGCTCATAAACACATTGCTGTCAAATGAATGTGAATAAATCAAAAGCACCAAGTGGCAGCAGCTAGACAAAAGTTCCCCAAATAAACACTTGAATTCACACCATCACTTCCTGGATTTTTCTCTGAATCTTGCACACTTCATCTACTGTATTTGCACTGTATCTTACACAAGCACCCATGCACAAACAAACGAACAAAAATCTTAAGCCATTCAATTACAAGTCACATTTACAATAGACAATAAAGCTAAGCAGACAATTATTCACTTTAGTACTCCAGTGCTTAATTAAAGAGGATCAACTCAAAACACTGTCCCTACACAATAACCCACCTTTAGTCACCGAATTTGGAAAAACACTAAAAATAATAAAGGTCAGTTTGTAAAAAGATCAAATAGTCTGCAGAATTTTATTAGCCTCTTAAAAAAAATCCATCGATACAAAATGCTTGTGTGCATATGTCCGTGTGTGTCTGCATTTTAGTCCCTCTATCTATAAAAGTAATTAGTTCTGACTATCTTTGTACCTTATCTTTTTCAATAATCTCTGCGCTGATGGAAGATAACAGAGACATCCTAATGCAATAACAAATGCCTGGCTGAGCTGGCACACATGCTCGTACAAACACACTTAGAAGGTGCTTTTCACTGAGCGGATACTCATGTCTGTATGAATGTGCTTCTTTAAATGTCGGCACTCTGTGATTATGTAGATCTGCAGGTCTCGAGGTGTATATTTCACCAAAGATGGGAAGCAATAGCAGCTATCAGGTGGGTTATAGAGAGGAAGGAAAAAAGAAAGGCAAGTGCATAAAGAGATAGAGAAGCAGGGGAGGGGTGTATTTGGTGGCGGGGGGGAGAGAGTACGAGAGAACAGGAGAGCTGAGGCAGTCACCCAGTGAGGCCTGTGCCTTTTGGCCCGTTGAGGCTGTAAACAGACAGGGATCCCTGGTGTTTTGTGCTTGAGCAGCTCGACTGATTGGTAAAACTGTCTATCACACAGGCTGCTGCCGCTGCTCTCTGTCAATGGTAAACAGACAGGGAGCACAGACGCCTGCCCTGCTGTGAATTCTCTCTTAAACACCAACAATAACTTTAGTCAATGTCTTCTGCAGGGGAACCCGGCCTACCTGTGATTTCTTTCCTCCAGATAAAACGCAAACTGTGTCAGACACACTCAAAGCATTTCATTTTGTTGTGAGGTGGCTTATGACTCAAAAGAGGTAACATTTTACTCACGGTATTGCTTTTCGACTATATTTGTAACACTATTAATCAGCGAGGATTCTGAAACTGGCAAATCACTTTTTTTAATTCATTAACAAAAAAAATTAATGAATTAAAAAATTAATTGGGTTTTTACATTATGAAACGTTAACTGGCCAGAGTGTCTTCCACAACAAATCTGACTGACTGCTGGTCGAACTAAGGGCAGGACGGAGCCTGAATGAACTGAGGCATTAAACATTGTTTGATAATTCTTAGAGTCTTTAGAGTCTTTGTATCCTATTAGCCGCAGGATTAAACAAAGCTCATTTCAAAGTGGTTCAGAGTTGGAGCCCCATGAGTGCCCACTCTGACATATCAAGCAAGCACTTCCATCATCAGTGCCTTTTTAAATCTTTTTTCCTCAGCCTCACCTTTCAGACAGAAAAGTCACCTTTTGTCACTACAAAGTGATGACTATCCTTTTTAATGAATCATGAATGTAATTAAGGAATCATATTACTGTCAGGTGACTCTTTGATTACATACATCCCTACTAGGTACAACTGATTAGGCCTTTTGAAACAGTCGGTTAGTGTTTCACTGCCAAACAGAAACTCCAGCATCTGTCTAAACTCACAGATCTCTGCTTTCTTACCTAACGCCTCTCTGAGCTCATTAATTCTAGCAGGCTAGCTCTCCAGGTAAAGTAATGATTTGTTTAGTATTAAGAGTCCAGCCTGCGATTCACTTATGGTATGCTTCTAAAGTGACTGCACTGTCATTTGGCCAGGATCACAGGCGATTCACTAAAGGACAATGAATGCCCGGTCATTCACATAGGTGTATATGCATGAGCATACACACTGATAAGGAACAACTCAGCTGCATACCCAGCGCACCCACACACATGCACGCTAAGATTTAGGGTGAAATACCTGGGGGATTAGGATGCGTGGAATGGGAGAGGCTAAGTCGCAGGCAGATCTCTTAGCATTATCATAAAAGGATGAAACCTTTGGAGGATTATGAATTTCAAAAACTTTTGAAATGTCAAGCACTTTCAAGCTGAACTTTTCCACATGTTATGCATTGCTAGCTGTGCTTGTGGTTACTGGCAATTGAGTTCAACTCAGTTATATAAAACCTATATTTTACACACACACACACACACACACACACACACACACACACACACACACACACACACACACGTCATTTTGTTCAGCTGCTAAATTGCTCACTAATGAAAATAGCTAATCAGCCAATCACATGGCAGTAATGCAACACACTTAGGCATCCTGCAGCTCAAACTGAGCATCTGTATGGGGAAGAATGGTGATTTAAGTGATTCTGAACATGGCATGGTTTTTGGTGCCAGATGGGCCTGCCTAAGACTTTCAGAAATTGCTGATCTACATCTCCATGACTTACAAAGAGTGTTCCAAAAAGAGAAGAAATATTGCATATACATCAGTTCTCTGGGGGGAAAAATGCCTTGCTGATGCCAGAAGTCTGAGGTGAATGACCAAACTAATTAGAGCTAACAATAAGACAACAGTAACTCAATTGCTTGTTATAGTCAAGGTATGCACCTTAAGGTTCAATTCAAACTGGACTGGCTCACCAAGATGTTTCCAGCACTTTACCAACAAAGAGGTAAGATAGTTCTGAAGCAGCAAAGTGTACCGAATAAAGTATCATCCTTTAATTCTGTGAATAATTAGCTGCTATGGAACATGTGAGGCAGATTAAACAGAGGTGATAAGAACAGCGCAGACAATTTTAAAAGAGTTAAAAATAATAGAAAGGAGGTAAAACGAAAAAAGCAAAAACAGATTAGGAATAACAAAAGAGAAAATTACTAAAGAAAATACTCAACAAAAATCACAAACCATGACAAAAGGACTAGAAGTGTAGCTGTCAGCACACTGAACCACAATATATTTATTCGATGTCTAAAAATTCTAAAATGTCACTGCTCGTAAATCTCTAACTGATCATTTTCTTTAATGGAAAGTCGGGTTAATTTTTTTAAAATCCATTTACTAGATTTGAAGCATATTATTCACAGATATAATTTTTATTTCAACTGCTACGCTAATGACCATCTTATTAAAACCTGGAACAACAAGAAACATTTTGGATCACATTATCTTCTTTAGGAATATAGCCCATAGTTTCTTCTTTGCATTGGCAAAATACAAATGAGCTATTTAAAATGAAACAAAAACTGTGGCTTTAATCCAAAGAAGAACAGAATATAGAGAAAAAACACGAGTACAAACCTTCATTTCAGCAGGTTTGTAGTAGCGGCGATTCTTGTCTTCGTTTGCGGTGCGGTAGCCGTCACGGAGGAAACGTTTGAAGCCATATTTGCCACGGAGCTTGCGGACAATCTTGTCAAGTGTCTGAGTGTAAAGAGCATCATCATCAACAGCAAACGCAGGATAGCTGATGGTTGGAAGTAAAGCTGCATCTGTGTTCTGCCGGAGACAAACAAAAAGATTTACAACAATTATGAACTACGTGAAATGTTTTTGCCACATTTGCTATATATAATATATATTTCCAGGCTGATATTTTTACTTCATTTTTTTAAATATATATATATTTTTAGCTACATTTAGTGTTTGTGTAAAAATCCACTGGCATTTTAGGTCAGAGAAATATTTTGAAAATTCCACAAGGACCAAAACTTTTCCCAATGACTGCATCTCACAGTCACTTTGCATAACTTCTGAGTATAAAATGAGGGAAGCCAATAAGATAATTTATTGTACATTTATATATTCTACAGAAAGATTTATTAAACATGCGTGAATGCCCATAGTATGTTTAGGAGTGAAAGTGTCGGTTTATAAATAAAACACTACAGCACTGACTACATTTACATACAGGCTATGGTTAGGAACGAATCTTGTTATCAGGCTTGACAAACCACTGTGACTGAGCATCTAATAGTCCCATTTTATTGTTTGGTTTACTCTATTAAGCAAGGGAAATGAAATCTATCAGGGCATAGCTTCACTGCAAACAGCTATGAATATTTAAAGTTTATTAATAGACGGCAGATTCCAAAAATCAAAGCCTTTCCATATCCTGTCTGAGCACTGGAATCTATAAAATAACTGCAGGGACAAGCGCTCTGACATGGACGTGGCTATGAACGCTTAAGGACCAGATTTCTGTTCTGTTTTGATTTCTGCTGCTCTCCTTTGTAGCGCGTTTCTTTTTTATACTTTGCACATATCTCTGCAGCTCACAGAGGAGCCAGGTGTAGCTCTGTCTAGTCCTATTCATTTATATTCTTCAACTTCTTGTTACAACCCTAATCTACATGGTAACATCCTCAGCAGCTACAGCTGAGAAATCATATCAGCTTGCAACACACTCTGTGCAGGTATTGAATGTGTCTAGAATTGAATACTGGATTTCAATCTTTTGACATATTACATGACATAGTGATAATATATTGATGTTTTGCATATCTTGACACAATCCTGACAATTGTTGGTGTCTCCTGCACTCCTTCAGACTTCTTAATGTCAGTCTCCTATGTCTATAATGCCATTGCTGATCGTCTAATTACACTAATTTCCTCCCAGGCCGTTGGTGACTAGACAATTCTGGCTTACAAGTTCGACACACACACACACGCACACACAGACACACAGCTGTAATGATTTAAGTGCCTGCGAGTGTTGGCGAGTAGGAAAGATTTTCCTCACGCTTTCTTCTTTGAGCTTTATCTCCCTGCATCTCTATATCCAGCTCTTACTTTTGCCATTTCTTGTCAGTGGTGTACGATCAAGAGCTCAGGTACGGGCAGTGTAATGACTGCACCGTGAGGAACATACATTGTTGAATTGATATCTACTGACACATTGACATGAGTGCGTGGTCTGTTTGATGTGTGTAATTAACCTTATCTGACATATGCGTGACAGGCTACTATTTTGTAGAGCCTATGCATACAAGCTGCTTCTCTACACCGTAAAAGAGCGTTGGGGGAAACGTTTGCGTCAAGCTGTGAAACTGTGGATATTTTTCTAAGAACAAAGAGATCAGCTCACAGACAAAATGCAACATTTAAACGATATTTTAATATTTATTCTAGTTCTAATATGATCAATTTAGACAAAATAACAAAAAGGAAATAAAAATAAGATTCTTGATTTTTGAATAAACTATTTTAAAAGATTGTTGCATTTTAGAGCAAAACGAAAGGTTACTTGATCACTGTTTTAACGATCACTGCAAGGCGGATATCATAAAAATACTGTGGGAGTTTTTTTGCTCTGACTGCACATTCCTGTATGCTGGTTCAACATTTCTCTACAATAGTTAATAGTTTAAATATTTTAAAAATTGAGCAAATGCAAAGTGCTCACTGTGCTGGACTGACATTGTCATCCCAAGACCATGTACCAATTTGTCATAAGCCTTCAGTGAAATTCAGTTTACTGAGTTTGATTCAATTTGCAAGAACAGACACCTCAGAGCACTTCATATTGTAAGGTAAAAACTAATTAGAGTGAGAACTACAACAATCAGACGATCCCCTATGAAGCAAGCAATGGTGGGAAGAAAGAACCCCCCTCTTTCTCTGGAAGAGACTTCCAGCAGAACCAGTGTAAGGGTTTAGGGGTGAGGTAAAAGAGAAGAGAAAAAAGGAGAGAAAAGAGAAACAAGAATAAAATGCATAATGAAGGAGAAATGGTTACCGGAGAGAGTCCTACAACCCCAAGCTTTATCAAACAGAAATGTTTTAAGCCTAACTGTAGAAGTATGAGGGTGCCAGTATCTCAACTCCAAACTGTGAGCTGGTTCCACAGAAGCGGGGATTGATAGTTGAAAGCACTGACTTAAGTTCATTCTACGTTTGGAAACTCTAGGAACCACGGAAAAGCCTGCACTCTGAGAGTGAATGGCTCCACAAGATGTTTAAGATATGAAGCTGATAATATTTTGCAAATTTTAGAAGAAAAGAGCTCTATTGCACATATTGCTTTGTGTCGTTTCTGCCTTTTGTTACTTGTAAAATCTGTATGCTTTTCTTTGTTTTATTAAAATTATTTAGAAGATGTACACAGTCAATAAATTGATTGATGTACTCACATGGGAGCGAGACTCTCTGGGTAGTAGAGAGCAAAGGGTTTGCCTGTTCCTGTTGTGAGCATCCAGATCCACAAATATCACAGACCATGAGCAGCCCTGCAGCATAAAAGAAAAACATTCAATTTACAGCTAAACAATTTGTGCTTCACAGTAACATATAGCTCTATACGTGCAAAACGACAAACATACACAAAGTCCTCCATTTGTCCAAAGAAATAAAAATAAATAAATAAATATGGAAATGCTTAAAATTATTTGGCTTCAAAGCCTCCGGTATTACACCTCCACACATCAAAACACTGTTTTGCTGTAAAACCAGGCAGATATATTTGGATTGCTCATGTTATTGAAGTGCAGTGTGGGAGTGCTTAAACAGCAGCTAGTCATCCGATCACTTTAAAAGTCTCCCTGTACAAAAATGAAGCACTACTACCACGATGCAGTTTGTCCATCCAGAGCACTTAAACACTTCCACGAGAGGAAGGGGGTGAACATTTTGTGCTTTTTACTCAGTAAGGGAAGCAATCAAACCATTTTTCAGGTTCTAAAAAAAAAAAAAAAAAAAAACAGTCCACTGCACTTCATCCATCCATCCATCAGCAGTGCTTATATGAAACCAAGTGGGCAATTCCCCCAAACTGCTAAGCAGTTTCTAATGCAAGTCAGATGCATTATGTATGAATATTGCCAATGTCGTGTTTTTTATTTCTATAAAAAAAAAAAGAAAGAAAAAAAAACACATCTGGCCAAGGCTTTTAGTCAAATCAGCAAGCTTTCCTCTAGAAATTTACATAGTGCATACATAGTGAATTGCTAGCCACCAGTGTAGACAGCTGTGTGACAAGTTAGTGAAAAAACCCACATAAGAAAACAGAGTGTTAGAAAAGCAACGTATAAAAACACTAACCCACAAAGCAAGCATGTAAAATGAGTGTTTTTGCCTTTTAGATTTGAGCCATTTTGTCTTCTTTTATTTAGTCACATTTTTTAAGCAGAAGCAGACAGTCCAACCAGCTTATCATGATTTAACTACTACATTTTTCTATTTACTTCTTTTACAAAAAATAAAAAATAAGTTTGAATATGCACTGTATATTTGTAGCATAACATCTCTTCCAACAGAACTAAGCAATAAAAAAAAAAAAAAAAAACACTAGGCAATGAGTTAAGATAAGACATAATCTGTAGAATACTTTCAGTGCAACAGCTCAACCCTTTTTGAGCAGTGGATGCTGTTTTAAGGTTTTCTTCAAACAATCTTTGATTTTAGAAAACTAAGCACTGCTTGTTCCTTGTGCATCTATCACTATGCATCCTCATGAGTGATCTGAAGTAAAAAAAAAAAAAAAAGTTGACTATAACCTGGAGTCTTTGAAGGCAAATATCTGTCAATATAAATTATTTTCAGGTTTTTCTCAATACAACCATCCTTCCACCTACTGTGAGGATTTGGCTCACGCCTCTCAAAAAACCACTGATGTCATTGGGTTTTTTTATGGTCTGCTATGAACATTGATTGAATGTCAATTATTTAAAGCCCATTTTTTAAAGACACTATAATGATTTACTTTGAACTTTAACTTGACACCACTTTCTATGCACTGATATATGTATGAAATACATTTAATTTACAGAAATATATTAAACTGGACTTTGTTAGGCATGTGCTTGGCTCTGCTTTATCCCTGCTCTTGACACGGTGTGAATTAGGTGACAGTCCCTTGAGAGAAACTAGAATGTGTTGGGATTTGACTGTAGAGCCGTGTGTAAACAGCACTGTGAATTTAAAGACCGGCTTTAAAGTTGAAGGATCCTCCTCATGTGAGATCAATTTTATCCGCCCAGTTCAATTTGTCACACCGAGAGGCTTCTATCATGCGTTCAGTGTGACTTTGAGGGGGCTGTGGTGAGGGGTCGGGTGTGACTTTTTCAAAACTGAAGGATGCGTGTCTGTCCATGTAATACAAAGGCTAACTGTGATATACAGCCACAAGAGTGTGCAAAAGTATGATAGAAGAGTTAAGAGTGTACTGAATGTTCCGGTTTAGGGCGTCGAGGGGAAGGAGCTACATTTGGTGCTTGAGCGTCAGCTGGGACATCAAGATTGATAGAGATCATTAATAAGCAACTGGAAAGCTTGTAGCATTCCCACAAAGGGGCACGAGACCGGCAGAGACAGGCACACTCATTCTCTCACATGTACAGAAGCCCCATACAGCATGGACCATAAAGCAGCCACCTCTATAAATTGATTCTTTCAACAAGCTTGAGCTCAATGACAAAATCCATTTTCAGGCACAGTTAAATCCTTTATTTTGCAGATGTTCAGAAGAGAAACACAAACAGCAACTTTACGGTCATACCCGACAGCCACATACGATGAGAAGATAAAGAGTCTAAGCTTAAATGGAGAGAACTGCCACACAAACCATTCTGGGCAAATACCCGAGTGAAGAAAATAAGAAGAAAAGATAATAAGAGAGGAAGCTTGCTAAGTGGAAGGCTTCATTTTCCAATCCATTAGCAGGTATAATGAATGTCTCTGTTTTCTTCTCCTAAAAAATTAAATAAATAAATAAGAAACATATCCACTAATGGACTTTGCACACAGAAAAACAGCCTCTGAAATTTGGAGGGAAACCTGATTCAACTGTGGCCATCGATCACAGTCTGTAGAAGCACAAACAATTTGCTGAGACAAACACAAACATGCACAAACATACTTTCCTGATCAATCGTCCACTCAGAGAAGCAATCTTGCTACAGTGACAGCGGCACTAATTACACTGATGCTGTCTACCTGTAAATAAACTGCAGTTTTCTACTATTCAGGCTGGTCATCGGGGTGACATTGCACCCAGCTAGGATAACTTCTTGATGTACAGAGGAGATTTGAATGGGCTATAATGCAGTCTACTACCAGGTGGCACAGTTAGACAGGAGACAAATCAATGTGAGTTCGGAAGAGGTGGCAAAGTATAAGAAGTCAGGGAATCAAATACCTGGTTTCCAAACAGGTTGAATCCATTGATGGCCTCCAGCGCAGCTTTAGCAAGGCCCACAGAGCTGAAAAGAAAATAAACTGCAAACTTTCACCAAAACATACAATAAGCAAGTATAATTCAATCTAACATTGATCAGTTTAAGAATATATTATTTTTCATTCTTAAGAAAGCAGAAAAAATGATGCAACATGAATCAAATGTGTTTTGAAAATGTCAAAAGTCCCCAAGGTTCACCAGAAAGCCTTCTGAATCACATTTGAATCTTAAATGGCTATCTGTTAGGATTCAATAAAGCTGAAGGCTCCTGAGATTGTGGTCTACTTTCGATAATGGATGATGGAGAGGAGAGAAAAAAAAACATAGTGCATTTCACAGTGGCTGGCTACTGTGATTGCAATGCAGCCTAAACGTGAATCAATTTTACTGTCATTTTGTTTCCCTTTCTACCCTACCAAGATTTCCCTAGAAAAGAACAGAGAGGAGAAAGGGAAAAAATGCAGGAAACTTGCCACTGACTGGTGGTAGATGTGCTGACATATTAAAAAGCATTAGTACAGATGATGGGAGGCTAATTTAGCCTCTAAAAGAGTTCTGCTGAAAGTAGTTTTGTGTAACACACAGAGATACACAAACACGCGCAAACTGACAGCAGTGGTCAGAAATCCTGACAGTACCTCACATGTACATAGAATGCTTTAAAGCTTTGTGGAAACCCAGGGTGTTAAAAAAAGTAACGCTTGGAATCAGGACCAGAGTAAAATGATGATGCAACCATGTCGGTTGACAGGTGGAGATAAGGATTCGCATGATGAAAATATTGCTGCAGACTGTACAACAGTGTTCTGCTACTCTGAGAGTAGGTGTGTTTACATACAGTGGTTCAGTATTGATCCACACACACCAACTTTTCTTTACTTGATTAAAAATGGACAAACTCATTGTGATTGTGATTCTGCAGTTGACAGAACCACCAACTGCTCAGGAATGATCCATTGTGAATCCTGTGAGCTTAGAGCCATATTCGTGTTTCGAAGCCGGACGTGACAGATGAGGAATGGTTCTAATATGGAGTTTGATTATTATACAGATCGTGTTTCCATGGAGCCATTCTGAATTGTTTCGTTTTTGGATACGCCATGGTAATTAATACAAAAGTACATATATAAGCCAACTCATTAACTGGGGGAATCCAAAAGCATGGCGTGGAGAGATAGAAACACGAAAAGACACAGCACTCCTCAATACACTGAATTTGTTATCTTTTCTTGAGGACATCTTGACAGGCTGGTGCCAATAGCTCTGGATTGTTGGAGAAAGAAAAAAAGACATGCTTTTCAGAGATAAGCAATAGCAGAAATTGAGGATCTTTATCAAGAAACCGAGCGAGGAGAGGAAGGCCGGTTTGACCTTGGATGATAAATCAGTTAGGGAAAACGTAACAAAAAGTCAACACGGGCTAAGAACAGTGCTGGTGTTTGAACAGGTTGTTCCAAATCCTTATCTGCATGGTGGTTAACCATTCAGATGGCTGGTCCATTACATTTTCTTTTAATATAGGTTATTTACTTGCTGACTGACATTTTTTTTAGCTACCAACTTGTGCTGATTTGACATTTCCATCAGTACACACTGACCCGACAAACACCTCACTAGATCAAATAGACTTGATTATAAAGAAAAGCATTACATGTTCCCACATTTCTGCTGCTTCCTGCAGGAAATACAGTGTTTTTACATTTATTGTTTGGCGCTGATCTATTTATATGGACAGGAAAGAAAAAGAAGATTGAATAGATAAGAGTCCTTCTTGCTATAGTTAATGTTGTTTTCTCTATAAGCAAAAACCAATGACTGTTTTCTACAGTCATTGGCAAAAACCATTAGAATTTCACAATCTAGTGAATTAAAATACATAGATATTACAAATAAACTTAACTCAGAGCCCTATTACTAAAAATCTGAAATAATTAGGGGTCTTGTAGTTAATTTCAAGAAGATGGAACACTCTACATCATTGTTGTTTTTCCAAGTGCTGCACTCACCGACAGTGAGACAGAAACAGAGGGCCCAGGCAAATATGATTTGCAGTTGCGTAAGAAAACCAAAGTAATACTTTAGTAAAACTAAAAGATCTGTTTTAACGGGTGTATTTATAAAACTAGAAGAGTATCAAGGTATAGTTTCTCTTGGCCCATGGAGCATTTAAGCACTGTTGCATTTTTAAAAAACGATTGTTTCTCTCTTGTGACTCATCAGTAGGCACCTCAGTTTACTGCTAAACCCACTGCTCAATCCCCAATTTAAAGCAACAGCTGCTAAGATTTTTAAAAAAGGGGAAAAGAAAAAAAAACATGAGCAGCTAAGGTGAGCACAGTGAAGAATTTACCAGCTAAAGAGTGACGCATTTCCCTCAGGTGTGGGTGGACAAGGTGGTGGAAGGTGACTCGATATTGGTCCACTCATCAGATACATACAAAAAATGACTCCAAATGCATCCTAATGCATTAGACGAGTGGATGTGTAAAATGGCAACTCTTAAGTGACACATTTAGCATATTAAATATATGTCAAATATATCCATCCATTCTCTTCCCTTTGTCCATTTCAGGGCTGTGGGTGGCGTTGGAGCCTATCCCAGCTGTCTTAAAGTGAGATCCAGGGTAGAACCTGGACAAGCTGCCAGACTGTCGCAGGGCTAACACACAGAGACAGACAACAATTCACACCGAAGGGCAATTTAGAATCACCAGTTAACCTAACCCCACAAACTGCATGTCTTCGGACTGTTGGAGGAAGGTGAAGTACCCGGAGAGAACCCACGCAACACAGGGAGAACATGCAAACTCCACTCAGAAAGACCCCGGCCTGATGGTGGAAGTGAACTCGGGACCTTCTTGCTGTGAGACAACCGTGCTAACCATGAAATATGGGTTTGCTCTAAAAACATTTATTTTGAATATTTGACACATTCTCACTTCTTTTTTCTGGTGTTACAACTTTCCCACAGACCTTATTTCAGGTATGTAACTTAAGAGTTTTAGGACTTTTGCAGCACCCTGCATACAGGACATATTCTGGCCAGTACTACAAAAGTGGTAAAAGTATAGAGAAAAGCAAAAGTAAGGTTTATAAAAACAAAACAAAACAAAAAAACGAGAGTGTGGAGAGAATGTTTTTCTGTGTTTTCTTTTTACTGACCTGGAATGCAGTTCAGTGCTGCCATTATTGTACTTGCTGCCTCTCTCCCACATGCCAAAGTCAGGTACCCTATATGCTCTTTCCACACAGAAAACCAGGTTCTGGATGAAGGAAACCTGCATGTAGAAAACAAACATACATGGGACACTCGGAAAAAATGCAACATACTGTGTTTATGCAATCTGCATACACAGAGTATACTGACACACACACGCCCATGCATTCATAAACGGGGCTAGAGACAGAAGATGTGTCCAAAAAGAAAGTGGAATCGCAGTACATAACGTAAAATGCAGCTGTGCACGCACGCACACGTGTATATATATATATATATATATATATAAATATATAAATGAAAGTCTGGATCCATTGATAGATGACCCTTGATACTGATCTGGGGTGATGAGTATAACTCTCTCATTACAAAGGTTACTACGGTGAAAAAGAAAGCTGATTTCTAATCCATGCTCAAGGTGAAACTGACCCGATGGCTAGACTGTAATTAAACAGGATAGAGCACCAGTATGCGAAGCTAGAGCTTCATTGCCTTGTCAGCTACCCATAACTATAAAGACACTAAATCAACACACTTTACAAATTCAACTTAAAACAAATGCCACCCTTTAGATACAGGCTCTAAAAACTCATCAGTAGTGTTGTTGATTCCACCAAACATTACAGCGGCATCGAAATGTTTAAAATTGCAGTTAGCCGATTTCAGATGTTTCTTATAACTAGCATCTGGCCCACGCAGATTCCTGGAAAATTATACAGTATACATATAGGAAAAAATTAACTAAAAAGTGAAACATATAATGTGCCAGCACACTGGTGTATGTGCTTGAGTGATGGTAGATTTAATCTAAAATGACAAAGTGGTGGAGGGGAATTGAGAGATGAGAGTAAAACAGCTGAAAGAGAAAGACAGAACCTGTGCAGGTCTTAAATAGGCCAGGCAGTGAGGATGGGCAGAGAAAGAGGGGGCAAAGCAGATGAGGCTGGGAAAGAGGGAAAGGTGTTTGCCGGGTCTCTTATTGGGGGGTTTTATGAGCAGAGTGATTAACGAGGGGAACTTTTTAGTATCTTAATGGTATCTTAATGAATGTTACTGCCCGTCGGCCAAATGAGTCCCTCTGTCTCCCCTCCCTGCTGCTAGAAAACCATCCTGGCCAGTTCTGCTTTTTTTTTCCCTTTTTTTGTGGGGGGCGGGGGGCTGACTATTTGGGAACGTGGGCACATTGGCAAAAGCACACTACATGTGCTTCTGCTTTTACCATGTGCCAGCAGCTCTCACGTATACTCCTGTGTGGAAAAAAAAAAGCACCCCAGACATACAAACTGGCTAATGAGTCGCTCCATTTCATGCTGCATGAAACTGAAAATGGCATCTGGGAGGAGGTCGATAGTGTATCTTCTCAGAGGACATGCATCAGCCTTTCTATGCCACTCTAAGAAAAAAAAATATACTGCAATGCAGCTTCCAGCTCAGTCAAGTGGACACCGATGGACTTCACAAGTAGTGACAGCCAACAACAAACTAATAAACACTCTAATAATGTGATTAGTCCAAATGAAACACATTTCAAACAGTGTTCAGTGAGAAAGCTAATCTCAAACCCTTATGCTCAGTGCATCTGATGTTTGTTAATGTGAGATTGGGGGAGGCGTGCTTCGGTTTGTATTACACAACCTAATAAGCACTGTTTAACCATGCAAATTAAGGTTGCTGCACAAACAGGACTGCCCTCATAAAAAAGTTACATTGTCAATTTGCTTTGTTCAGAGTAAGAAATGGAGAAAAATGAGAGATGACTGGGTTGGGAGGTGTGTGTACGCTCACTAATTGGTTAGTGGTATAATGTTTCACCATGTCCTTACTTTCTTAAGATAAGCTCAATTTAGTAAACAAATGGATTCCTTTACCAGGGGCACAAATTTCACTGCTCTGTGGCGGTAAGTAAAGCTGAGCAGGCTGTAAAAACTAACAGAATTAATGACGTTCCAAATACTCCTGCGGGCCACATAATAAACAGCACAGTGTGTAAACTTAACAGCCAAGTTGCCTTCTTGTTTTATTTAGAGCCAAACATAAAAAAGGCAAAAAAAAATGACACCAACAGATAAATCAAACTACAAGAGACCGTTCAACTTTACAGTAATAGAGGGCTGGTGTGTTGCCAAACACAACGTTACCGGTTCGATTCTCAGGAGGCTATTTAAGCTTCCACAATGAAATCATCTAAACGTTTCTCTGCTGAAAGTCAACTGAGCGGCTCAGCAAGAGCATAAATGTGAGCCAAGCTATAAAAGTGAGATACTGTCCCCTGATCCTGCATTTGTGTCAGCTCTAGGATATCTGTAGGGGATTTAGGATATATCTAACTGGCTTTAGAGACCCTTTGGTCTTACTTTACAGCAGCTAGCTCAACCTTCAGAAGGTAGCATCAGATTACTTAGATCATTTAAACTATATCGTGGTGTATTTTAGAATAAATACAGAATTTCACAAAAAAAAATTCCAAAGATTAGAGAAGCTGTGAGATGTTTTAAAATACAACATTGCCATAAATGCACAGCACCATGGAAAATCCACAAAGTGATAAAATGTAACAACTCTGTAGTTATTTTTCATGCAGTTTATAATCATATCAGTACATTTAACCTTGACAGTAAGTGAGACCAGAGATTGACACTATTTTCCTCTGCTTCACAGTTTAGAAAATGTAGCGATAAACAGGCCAACATTTACATCCTAATATTGAAAACCGCAGTCATTTTAACGCCTTGTTTACCTCGTCGGTGTTGAAAATGATCTGCAGACCAGAGCAGATCATCTCCACCAAGTACAGCAGGAATAAAGAAACGGCATCGATCTGTAGAGGTGACAGAGGGAAGTAGGGTGGATAAGATGCCATCAAAGCAATTACTATCATTTGCACATACACCGTATAATAACTTCATACTTATAAATTAGTCTTCAATTTCTCGCACAGTGCAGAGAATGAGACAGACTTTACAGTAGCTATTAAACTTTTGACATTGGAAATCATCAACAATGGTGAAGTTGCTGGAAAAAATAGAATAATCAATAAATAAGTTACCTCTTTTACATTTTTGAATGTCTTTTTCTCCCCTCACAGGCAACTAACCTTGCAGCTTTATTTCGATTTCTCTCTCTCTCTCTCTAGCTCTCTTGATGTATTGGCCACCCTTCACTAGAAATGCATTCTCCATTCAAATGCTACACACCAAACTGACCTCCGTTAATACCACTGACAGAGGAACAAGCCGTTTTAGTGCCAATTTAGTGCACAAGCACTTCTCGGAGAAAGTCATTTTTCTGAGCGTCTATGCATGCCAGGCAGAGGGGCTGAGGAAATGAGACATTTTAATGGAATCCCCCCCCCCACTCAAAACACTTGAAACAAAACCTGTCACAAAGAGATTGATTGTCTATTTTATTCATCCTGTTGTTCATTCATCTTTAGCAAGGTTCACTTACTACGGACCTTCTTCTCTGACCTCATTTTTTCCTAAAGTTATATTAAATATGTGACACAAAATAAAATACCAGGGTGGCAAATTTTACTCTACATTTTTTTACAATATACAGTAAAACCCCTAGGTAACGCACACACATCAAACACACAGGTGTATGCACCAAGAATTCAATTTAAACGCTCTTTTTTCATTTGGTAGTTGCCCCATTTTTTCACTTGTCTGCTTGCTGGCTGACCTGCAGGTGGTGGTAGTCGCCGTGCAAGTAAACCTCATCTCCGGTGTCCACATGGAATACAGAGTGCAGACACTTTGAGGGGCTAGGATCCTGTTTAAACTCCTCCACCTAACAGAGATGCACAGAGAGAGAGAAAGAGAGAGAGATGAAAGGAGGAAAAAAAAGGTCCAGGGTAAAGGGAGGGAGAGAGAAAATCAAAGGGAGAGACATCCATGGCCCCACAGAGGTTACTAGAAGAAACTAGCTATACTAGAGTAGCCTTCAACAAATTCAAAAACATATCAACCGAAACCTTTTGTATTGAGTCAAACATGGTGATGAACTTTCTTTACACACTTTAATGTCTGTCATGTCTCTTATGGTTGCACTGCTTAAGGCAGAGATGGCACCTCTGCTCTAATTCTATATATGTCAATTCTAACGAATCAAATTCAATGCCGCTTCTTGTTTCTCTATCCTCTTCTGTCCATTCTTCTCTTTCCCCCATGTCAACTTGTCACGACAGATTCCCACATCCCTGGGATTTCTTTTCTATAATTTTCTCAGGCATCTTGAGATAACTGCTGTGAATGGAAAAAAAATTAAATTACACTTCACTTCCTTTCAGCATGTTCTCTTGAGCTAAAGCTGTTTGTTTTTTATATTTAAACTGTCAAACTGAACTTCTTTTACTGCATTCACTTTTGCTGACCCATCAACGTCCAGAGTTTTTTCCTGGCTCCAAAGGCTGGGGTGAAGGGTGATCAGAATGTAAGCATAATTGGTCTGCATATAGTTAAGGCAAAAACTTGAGTCTTACTTAACAGAAGTCAGTGGATTTCCACATCTGGCTCCTTTGTCTTAGGCCATTTAAATGTTTGTCTTTGTTTGTTTGCCTTTTTGGCTCCTCCATTTCAATTGCCACTTCAGCTTATTCTAGCTTTCTTTGCAGCTTTTTCACTTCAGTTAGTCTTGCTGCTTAAATTTAATCAGCTACTTAAATCTTAACCACCATCTGCCTGCACTGTTTTTTCAATCTACTATACCCATACAAATATGATTCAAAAGGTTTAAAGGAACTAACATTTCTTTAACATTTTTAAGCCGTTTCAAAAAAATTTAATGTTTACAATCCTGGCTGCAAGAGTTCATCCCCACTACAATCATACATGCTGCACATAATCTGTTCTTTTGTTTTGGTTTTTAATAAAATAACCTGATAAAGAGTGAAGAGTTTAATCAGGGAACAACACCACACGCTACACGTTACAGTACAAACATCTCTGCTCGGGACCACATAAGGGCCAGATTATGGCAACCAAAATGATAACACTGTTTAAAACAAGACATGTACAACATTTTAGTAGTGCTTTGTCCTCGGTGGTTTGTTGATGGCTTCGCATGTGTTTGCTTCATCGACTACACTACACACCAAATCACAGATGGGCCGCCTGTCCTGTCGCACAGTTATAAATAATTGGCCCTTTGTCCCATTTTCACCTCCTTCGTTTCTTTTCTCTACTTCTCTCACTGCTCTCTCTATCATTAAATCCCTCGTTGTTGTCTCCATTTTTTTTCCTACTTCCTACCTTCTTTCTTACTTCTAGCTCTCCATCTCCTGTACTTTACGCTATGAGCTCTTTTATTTGTGTTCTTTTGTCATCGTCCCCCCACACACCTATTTTGCTATATAGTCAGGTCATAGTGGAGACCCGCTGTCCCACTTTCACTGAAACTGCTCCATTTCTTGCCATCCCATAGTGAGTAATGCTTATGTGCGTATGTGTACAGAATAAGAGGGGTACCTCTGTCAGCAGCTAACTCTGTTGTTTATGTTTCTATAAAACTTGCTTTTGTGTAGTGGTCTCCCTGATTCTTGCCCCTGCAGAGCCACAGTGTCAAGTGGCTCCACTCTTGGGATATTTGAAGAGGCCCCTGATCTTGCTTATTGTTTCAAGTGCTGCAATGCGCCAATATGGGCTTCAATTTAGCAAACTACTTCAACGCCTGCTGTTTTAACAGTCCACTTTCATGCACTTATTTTCCATCTTTAGCTACGCACAAAACTCTTGCATCTCATCAAGTCAATTAACTGCAATTCCTTATCATTTCTCACTGAAAAGGAAATGACTTTCATTTTCAAAACCAAGTTATGTTAAAGGGATACAGTGAGCTCAATAACTGTTTAGATCATCACGACTAAATGATCAGCTCACGTTTTTACGCTTAGATCTGTGACCATATCCCTGAATTGATCAATGTTTTGGTCTCTTCAGGCAGTGTAACAAGCCGTATACAAAAACACTGACTTATTGGCCTATTTAGTGTTCCAGCAGCCACTGGCACATAATTAGCATTCGGAGCACAGTAAAAAAAATTACAAAAAACAAAAGTAAAGTTGCAGAGTCCTGAACTGACAAAAAAATGACTTAAAATATGCTAAAGAAATAGATGTTGGATTAGCAATAATGGTAAGTGGGCCAAAATTCCTCCACAGCATTGACAGTTATTGCAAATCCTTGAATAGGTGTTGTTGCTGCTGCTAAGGGTGGCCCAACCAATCATCAGGTTTAGGGGGCAATCACTTTTTCCACACAGGGCCATCTAGAGTTTTTTTATTTCTTAATCATAAAGAACTTCATTTACACCACTGTATGTATGTATTAAGGATAGGGATGTCACAGTAACACAAGAAGGCCGGTGTTAGTTAAATATAGAAATGGAAAAGAGTGTTGTTTGCAGCCTTAATAAGCCCGGACAGTGAGTTCCTCTGTTGCATATATAAAAATTTGTATTAACAAATATTGTTCTGGATGATAACGCTGCCTGAATTTCAATGCAAATCGGCATAAAAGCAGAGCATCTATATAGCATGTTGTATCTGTTGTTCACTAGCTCTGTTTCATGAGTTTCTCCTGCAGTATTGTCCAATTCCTTGAGGAAAACACACAAGTATTATATTTATTTATTTGTTATAATTAAGTTAAAGCACCTCAGGACATTGTTTAAAGATACAGGAATTGATTATTTGAAGGAAGAGAAAAGATCTGGTGACATTTTAAACAATGTATTTTAAGCATTAATATTTTTATTATCATTGTTATCATCAGTAATCTCTAAATGTTTCGGTATACCTTTGTATTCAGTACGAACAGAGCTGCTTTAAATAAACATAAACAGCCACCTCATTTGTTTATCAATGGCAAAGGTAGAATATTTTCCTTTAAGAAAACTGTAATTGTTAAATAAAAGATATCCTTTCTTCCTCATACACTATCTTATCTAATCAGTGGGGCACAGCTGCTGTATTTGCTCTGTGATATTTGCCCTGCAGTGCCCCCATGTCACAGTTTCCATAAAAAATGCCATGTACTTCGTAAGCGTTGGTGACGGGGCCATAACGAAAGCTGTTCTGTGTAATTAACTGTGTAAACGCAGCTTTGTAATTAAGACAGAGAAACTCTCTCCCCTAAATTGGATCGTCAAGGTCGAGGCAAGATGAAAGAGGATGCCTTTCAACGGTGCACACCATATACGTGCAGATACACAGGGACGCAGCAGACTGCTCTATTAAAAAAATATGCTCAACGAGGAAAAAAAAAATATTCAGGAGACATATCTGGCTTTTCTTTGAATACATAACATGGTTTGCCATTTTTTTCCTCATTCACAGCCTACTCTACACATTCATCAGTTTTCAGTAGAGGTGGCGTGAAATTTTCCTCCTTCGGAGCAAAAGTCATTGGAAATTAGGAGACTGCTGGTTATTAAGCCCTCAGGACCATATCAACTGGCTCCTTTTGTTATTTGTTGTGATATGAAAGAGGAACCAGATGTGTCCAAGGCTGTAGCACTAAGAGGCTTTGATGAGCAGGAATATACCTTTGATCTGCAACGCAGTGTGTAATTTCGGGGGTGTTTTTATGCAAACATGCAGAAGCTGTACTGAGCCAGGATGAAACACTCACCTTATCGGCCTGTCTCATGTAACAGTAGAGAATTCCTCTCATGCACTTGATGGCAGAATGCTCCAACTCGTGCGTTCGTCCCATGTCATCATCAATGCGTCTGAAGGGCAGGGAACAAAGGCCGAACACATGAAGACAAACTGTCACCTACAGCAACTCCTTTTGTTTTAAAAATGGCAAATATTACTAACTGGAGTCACAGTTGGTCTTTTGGTCAGTATTCTTACTCCTTAAATGTCCGAAAGTAACAGCAGAGATCTCACAACTTAATATGAAGGACAAGTTTTCCGAGGCAAAAAAAAGTCCAAGTAGTCAGAAGATCAGACACATTGTAGAACTGTCTAAACTGTTATTTTATTCAAATAAAATATGAGTGAAAGAGAAGCAGAACATCAGAACCAGCTTAATAAATAATAAATAAATAATGCTAAATATTAAGTCTTTAATTCCTTACTACCTTTTGGTCAAGCCATTTTGTTCCCAGGTTTAAGCAAATAACAAATAATAAATAACCTGCTGAACCCTTTTTGGGGTAAGAAAGATAAAAAAAATTTAAAAAATGAATCAGATTTAGGTTGATATAACCCAGATCAAGCCAAACTTTTGCATTCATAAAGCTAGAAATGTTTGCCTAGCCCATATTTCATCAATAGGATTGTGGATCCATCCTAAATATTATTGTGATACAGAGAACTACCATGTGATTTTGACATGGACAACACAAATCCTGATCTGATGAGGACTGGAAGAGTAGTAATGGTCAATCATTTTGTTCCGTTAAAGCTGTCAGTTGGCCAGGACTGCTGTGAAGATCAAACTGCTTAACCCAAGACTAAATACAATGGTTCTCTGGCTGTTTCAGTTACCTATAGCTATGAAATAATGATCATACTGTGATTTTTTTTTGCTCTTTAGACTTTCCCACACGTAGTACTGACTTTGAAGTATATTAGTCATCAGTGCTGATAAACCAACAGAAGCTCTTAACAATTTACACAATTTACATTTAATAGTGAATGCAAATTAACAAAAAAATGAATGAATGCACTATAGAAAAATGCATTCAAATTGTGGGGAAACAATTCAGCTTTAAATTAAATCTGTTAGGTATAGAAAAGAAAAGTTTTGAAAGTCCTGAAATGAATACTGGTAGTAAAATGCTACTTTGTTCCTCGGTTGCAGCGACCACAGTGCGAATCAGCTCATTCTTTCTGAGGCTGGCAGATGTCAGATGTGTTTGACAAAGGTCAAGCTAGTAATGACTCTGGCTAACAACAAAGGAAAGCTAAGCCACTGATGTTATACTTGTTTAAAATTTCCGAGGTACACAATGCATTAATGACTGCCTTCAAGACATGACCCCGTGCATCAAAACTGACTGCATGGACTTGTTAGTGAGAGGAAATTTTCACTAGAGCTACCCAGTGTCATTAACAAGAAAATGTATATAACAAATAGAAAAGTGAGTAGGCAAAGCTGCAGATAAAAGCTATCATGTTTCCTTAAAATAGAAGTTTGTGGTAACTCCAACTGCCAGTCTTGTCATTGAATCTCACACACACACATACTCAAACACACACAGCATCTGGGTGTGAAGTAAGTAATGGCACTATCCAAGCCTGTCAGATGAAAATCATCTTAATTAAATCCCAGTGACAATTCTAATAGGAGGCAGCCATGACTGATGACTGGGATCTGCCTCTGGTCACATCACTGCAGTACACTCTATTTTTACCCTGCTCTTTCCCTCCGTCTTCCCCCTCCATCTAGTTTCCTCTCTGCCTCTCTCGCCATCTTCCACTTCTTCTTCTCTATTGCGAACCCTGACCAGCTTAAATCTCCCCTCTACCACTCCCGCATCTCCACTTTCACTCTTTCTTCTCGTATACCTCCCCTTTCCAATTCTGCCTCCTTCCTCTTTATCTTTTTGCTCCCCACCCTTCTTCTGTGCCCTGTTACAAGCTCATTTTGTGGAAGTGCTCTTTCCTTAAGAGGAATTTGGGCATCAACACAGGGGAACATTGATAAAGGGGTTTGGTGGCCCCAGTGAAATTTTGAAATGTTCTTCTAGAAGTAATAACCCCTATGTGGTTAAAAAGCAAAGCCTCCAAATGACAGAGGCAGATTAAAGATGAGGATCAGTAAGCATGAAAACGAAGAGAGCAGGGAAAAACCTGTGAAACTAACTGAGGCTTTTTGGTCAGCTTTCATATAATGCCCAACAAACTGAGCTGTCCATCTATTTTAGTATTTCTTTTACACCAGCGTTGCTGTGATGCTGAAAAAAGGCAATACATAGGACTGGTTTTTCAGCTACTCCTGAGTTTATGGGTCAGTGGCATATTCAGAAGCACAACATGCTGCAACCATCTATCACTATATAACAGCAAGAAGGACCTCTGCCCACAAGAAACTGGACTCACTGCAATAACCATCTGTGTTTATGACCTCCGCCTCCACTACTCACCATGAATTTAGATTTCAGTCTGAGATACTCTCACAACAGTAATCGAAGAGTTCTTTAAAAAGTCTAACTGAACATAAACATGAGTTCTAAGTTTTTAACTTGTACAGATCACTAGCTGTTTACCCATATTCTATGATTGCACCAATTACAGACCCTGCAACCTCTAGCCTGTTGGGTTGGGTGTGTGAAAAGACATATTTTCAAATAATTTCAAGGATTGTGTGCACTTGTTAGTACAACTGGGCTTATCTTGGAGCCACACTCACCCACAAACACGTACATGTTGGTAATCTGCCTAACAGCTTTGGTCAAGTTGAGCTTTCTATGAGTTTTGTAACTCAATTTTAGGTAAAAAGCACTATCTTTAGCACACAGCTAAGGTGCCAGCTTCCTAAGTCCACACAAATTTTGGGAAAAGACATATTGCATACTTATAAACAAACATATATTACACAGTTTATTTTGCATGCGTGTGCATTTTGCATACTAACCGATACGCCATTGCCAAGGCCCAGGCACTGGCAGCACAGTACAGAGAGTCCCGGACCTTTGCCTCTTTGCAGGTAGAGCATGTTTTTACTGGGAACAGACCAGTGGTGGGACTCTGGTAGTTCAAAATAGTTGTCTTGACTAAAAAGACACAAAAAAGATAGAGACAGACAGAAGAAGTGGTGGGTTAATAGTTGCAAAACTGGAAATGTCATCTGCTCACAGCTAAGTAGTTGAAAGGCCAGTGAAGAAAGCGCCTGTTTTCTAGGCTGTAAAGTATTCTCCTGCAGCTCTTTGTTACGAATATCAAAAGCATCTCGTTCTAACTGATGAATTAGGTGGTAAATCAAGAATCAACAGATTAAAATCACCAGTTGGAAACTACAAAAATGAAATAAAAAAAAAAACAACAAAAACAAACCCCCTCCCCAATAAGATTCTGTTTAAAGTGCAATAAACAAATCAGATAAATGTAATAAATAAGTATAAGATGAGAGAGAGAGCACCATGTGCCTCACAGCTTCAATGTCAGGGGCAGAGGAATAGTGGACCTCCCAGCTTCAGCGTCATATAGAGGAGCCCAGAGCAAACCCAGCAGCAAGCCTTAAAAAAAGGCTATAAATATAAATATAAAAAAAAAAAATCAAAAATAGCTGCAGCAATCTAAGGAGAGTGGGCAACCAGAGTTTTACAACTTAAAGAAATTCTGCACTTGTGAGCAATTGTTGCAGAGAATCACCACGTTACCAATGACTGTGACGCTTTTCATATGTTTTAATGTTAATAAATTATTTTATTTTATTTATATATAACTTTTTAAGATTGTAATGCACTTCAATAGATTCTTACAATATTAAAATACAATTGAATAAAAAAAAAACCCATAATACACAAAAATATTATTCAAATGCCTGATAGATCTGGATAGATGCATTTTCAGCTGTTTTTTAAAAAAAGAAGCCACAGAGTCAAGGGTGCAAAGAGAGAGAGGTAAACTGCTCCATAGTTTTGGCACAAAAATTTGAAAGGCAAAATCCCCTTTATTTTTTAGATCGGTACGTGGAATCACCATAAGACCACTATCAGCAGATCGAAGGAAGAAGCATGATGTAGAAGATGATGTAAGTGGGGGCCTCTCCACATCAGGCCATGAAAGTAAGAGTCAAGATTTTAAATTGAGATCTGGAACTAAATGGAAGCTGGCGCAGACTCTTTAACAACGGGGTGATAT